TGCTCCTTCATCTGCGGTGTGTTTTTCTGTCTTCTCATTTTGCTTATCTTACTGTGTTTGGGGTCTCCTTTCTGCAGGCTGCAGGTTCATAGTTCCCATTGTTTTTGGTGTCTGTCCCCAGTGGCTAAAGTTGGTTCAGTGGCTTGTGTATGCTTCCTGGTGGAAGGGACTACTGCCTGTGTTCTGGTGGATGAGGCTAGATCTTGCCTTTCTGGTGGGCAGGTCCACGTCTGGTGGTGTGTTTTGGGGTGTCTGTGGACTTATTATGATTTTAGGCAGCCTCTCTGCTAATGGGTGGGGTTGTGTTCCTGTTTGCTAGTTGTTTGGCATAGGGTGTCCTGCACTGTAGCTTGCTGGTCGTTGAGTGAAGCTGGGTGCTGGTGTTGAGATGGAGATCTCTGGGAGATTTTTGCCATTTGATATTATGTGGAGCTGGGAGGTCTCTTGTGGACCAGTGTCCTGAAATTGGCTCTCCCACCTCGGAGGCACAGCACTGACTCCTGGCTGAAGCACCAACAGCCTTTCATCCACATAGCTCAGAATAAAAGGGAGAAAAAGTAGAAAGAAAGAAAGAAAGAGGTAAAATAAAATAAAGATAAAATAAAATAATTAAAATAAAAAATAATTATTAAGAAAACAATTTTTTTAAAAAGTAAAAAAACAAAAAAATGGACGGATAGAACCCTAGGACAAATGGTGAAAGCAAAGCTATACAGACAAAATCTCACACAGAAGCATACACATACACACTCGCAAAAAGAGGAAAAGGGGAAAAAATAATAAATCTTGCTCTCAAAGTCCACCTCCTCAATTTGGGATGATTCGTTGTCTATTCATGTATTCCACAGATGCAGGGTACATCAAGCTGATTGCGGAGATTTAATCCGCTGCCCCTGAGGCTGCTGGGAGAGATTTCCCTTTCTCTTCTTTGTTCGCACAGCTCCCGGGGCTCAGCTTTGGATTTGGCCCCGCCTCTGTGTGTAGGTCACTGGAGGGCGTCTGTTCTTCGCTCAGATAGGACAGGGTTAAAGGAGCAGCTGATGTGGGGGCTCCGGCTCACTCAGGCCGGGGGGAGGGAGGGGTAAGGATGTGGGGCGACCCTGAGGCGGCAGAGGCTGGCGTGACGTTGCACCAGCCTGAGGCGCGCCGTACATTCTCCCAGGCAAGTTGTCCCTAGATCCCGGCACCCTGGCAGTGGCAGGCTGCACAGTCTCCCTGGAAGGGAGGTGTGGAGAGTGACCTGTGCTCGCACACAGGCTTCCTGGTGGCGCAGCAGCAGCCTTAGCGTCTCATGCCCGTCTTTGGGGTCCCCGCTGATAGCCGCGGCTCTCACCTGTCTCTGGAGCTCCTTTAAGCAGCACTGGTAATCCCCTCTCCTCGCACACCAGGAAACAGAGAGGGAAGAAAAAGTCTCTTGCCTCTTCGGCAGGTCCAGACTTTTCCCCGGACTCCCTCCTGGCCAGCCGTGGTGCAGTAACCCCTTCAGGCTGTGCTCATGCCCCCAGTCCTCTCCCTGTGATCCGACCGAAGCCCAAGCCTCAGCTCCCAGCCCCGCCCGCCCCGGTGGGTGAGCAGAGAAGCCTCTCGGGCTGGTGAGTGCCGGTCGGCACCGATCCTCTGTGCGGGAATCTCTCTGCTTTGCCCTCCGCACCCGTTGCTGCGCTGTCCTCCGTGGCTCCGAAGCTCCCCGCCTCTGCCACCCGCAGTCTCCATCCGCGAAGGGGCTTCTAGTGTGTGGAAACCTTTCCTCCTTCACGGCTCCCTCCCACTGGTGCAGGTCCCATCCCTATTCTTTTGTCTCTGTTTACTCTTTTTTCTTTTGCCCTACCCAGGTACGTGGGGTGTTTCTTGCCTTTTGGGAGGCCTGAGGTCTTCTGCCAGCATTCAGTAGGTGTTCTGTAGGAGTTGTTCCACGTGTAGATGTATTTCTGGTGTATCTGTGGGGAAGAAGGTGATCTCCACGTCTTACTCTTCTGCCATCTTCCTCCGACTTCCAGCAGGTGGATTCTTAACCACTGCACCATCAGGGAAGCCCCTGGATTTTTTTTTTTTTTTAATTTACTTACAGAATTTTAGGAATACCAATAACAAGATAACATGAGGATGTTATGTATGCTTCCAATACACTGTGCATTCCTTAAAATTTTATTTGGGGTAACTGACAAGGCATATTGCTAAAGATGTTTATTTCTTACGAAGTCAACTTTTAAAAAAGTGTATGTGGGAAAAAAAAAGTTAATGCCCAAAAGGATCCTATTGTACTCCAAGGCGTTTGCACATTGTGAAGATACATTTGATCACTCTAATTTCCTCTATCTAATTTACCAAATATTATTAGGATTGATACATCTGATGGTAAAATATAAGCCACTGGCAGTTTTGCTTCTCTTTCCAATAAAATGAGACATAAGAAGTTGAAGTTTATAAAAATAAGAGAATAGAACTCTAGCACAGGACCCAGGACTTGAAAGAATACAATAAAATCAGATTTTTATAAAGAGCTTAACCCTTGTGGTTAAATTACACAATGTGTTGATATTAAAACAGAGTATGTTTCTGAAACACCTATTTTGGCCTATATAGGAAATTAGAAACTTGTGACTTCAGGTTGAAAGAATCCTAAAGCACTGTAGTAATTAAGACTTTCTTTTCAAAGCAGGATTTTCCATGGTCTTTGGGTTTTTCTAAATGATTACCCAAGTGGTTATGGAAGAGAGTACTACCACAGCTCGTGGCTATTAGAATTCAAATTCAGCTTGATAAAGATCAAGCGCAAACACATCGTGACATTACTGTTGTACTTGCATCCAAGTGTAACAAATAAACATATTCCCTATAGCTTAAAGGAAATACTAGTGATTACTGAAATTCTACCAATTAGGTCTGTAGCTATTCCCTCAAAGCCGGTACTTACATTGATTCGCACAGTCGGATGGCACACAGGTGGGTATATGCTCAGAGCCAAATCATCCACACTTAAGGGGAGAAAGCAAAAATAACCATTAACAAAGAAGGAAGAAAGCTCAGCTAGGTGGTCTCCAGTACACAAGTAAGGATGTGACTAGTGAAAAAATGACTCCCAGAAATGCGTATCAGTTCCTTAAATTGGGCAACCAATAAATAACCAATTCAACCAGTATTTACGGAATACATACATACCCTGTTTCACTAGGAAGCTGGGGGGAAAACCTCCCTTGACCAGTAGGATGGGACATAATTAAGTTAGTTAAAAATGTGAGGATCTGAAACCATAAATTTAATAACTAACACAGGCAGGGTTCATCCCTGAATGCCACTAAAGTGGGCACCACTTTAACCAAGCAATCAAGTTATTACTATACCACCAATAATGGGACAAACTAACACCATGTGCCTCCCCGATATGACACAATGAAAAGCACAAAACACTCAACTATGTGATATTCTTGCCAAAAAGTGTTTAACCTGAATATAATTATGAGAAAACAATCACATAAATCCAGATTGTTGGATATTCTACATGGCAACTGACCTGGATTCTTTAAAAATGTCAATGTTAAAAAAATACATTAAAAAAAAATAGTCAGTGTCAAAAGAAGCTAAGAAGGACAAGGACTGTTGTAGTTGCAAGACACCAAAGAGAAGACAACCAAATGTGGTATGACACCTTGACGGAACCCTGAATTTTAAAAAAAAAAGCTATAAAAGACATTGTAGAGACCACTGGGGAAATCTGAATATTAGATAACATTATTATAGTTGATGTAAATTTCTTAAATGTAATACTAAGAGTAAGAATGTTTGTTCTTAGGAGATACACACTGAAATATTTAGGGGTGAAATGTCATTAATGTCTGCAACTTACTCTCAAATGGTTCAGGGATAAAAATGGCACATCTACTTCAATTTTTAAAAAGCTACCTCTAATTATAGAGAAATAAACCAATAGAGAAAAAATTGTGAACAATAGGTGAATCTAGATGGAGGTATAGGTACTCACTGCAATACTTTTTCAACCTTCCTGTAGGTTTGAAAATTTTCAAAATAAAAAGGTGGGGAAAAACCTTGGGTTGACGGCACAAGTTGACATCAGAATGCTGCTGCTCAGAGGTTTTGAGTGGAGATGACGCTTACCTAGGGCTGATCTCATCAGAAATGTCCACAATGTCATCCAGCTGAGCCACCTGATCCTTCTTCCCATTCTCTGCCACTGAGAGCCGGATTTTCTTCAGGCAGGCTTTGGATGCTCTCACCAGTGCAAGGCACGGGATTATGAGCTCCTGATCTTCCTCTGACCAATATGAGTCCCGATTGCTTGGACATCCCAATATATCCTCCTCATCACCGTGGTTGTCAGAGTTGTCCTCCTCAATGTCACTCAACAGGCCATAGTAAGGGTCACATTCTTCCACAGCCTAAGGCACACCATGATACATGTGAATGCCAAAAAAATAAAAAGGTGTTGTACTTTCAGCATCATGTCCGAGTTGTCCCCAAACTTTAGCCTGCTACTTCCCTAATGGCTACAGAGTTGAATCACTTCATAAACCCTCTTCTGACTCTCCTAGTGCAGCAGTGGAACAGAGGGGAATGGTACTAAATCACACACCAGCACGGGGTGGGAGATAGGAGATGGAGGACAGGAGTGAGGATGGGACCTATTTGGTCGACGCTCAGCACATCTTCTCTCTTTATAACCGATCCTCATCTAGACAGAGTTGCCTTCTGATGACCATCAAAGACAGAGGTCCCCTCACCTGCTCCATTTCCTCATGTGCATCCTTCACAAGATCCACACTCTTTGTCAGCACTAAAAGGGCTGCAGCTTTGTTATCTATGAGTGAAGAATTGGAAGTACTACAATTAGAGAAGAAACCCAACAATTCTCTTAAGTCTGCAAAAAGCAACAATGTTCCCATTTGAAAGGAGTGCCAAGGACAGTCAACAAGGGCAGCAGTTTAATGTAAAATTCTTCTCACATACATCCTCTGGGTACTCAGACAGGGGCTGAAAAGCTTTTTGTCATTCACCACAGGAAGAAATAAAATGGTCATATGATGTTTCTCATCATGGTCCTCTTGGATGACCACTGCTTTTGGCCTAGCAGGCTCTACCTCATAACTGCTTCAGTGTCCTCAAAATACTGCCCCTGGGGCAGGACCAGAAGAGGAAACCATGTCTTTCAACAAGAGACAGAGCCACAGCCAGAGAGTGTTTGAATTTAGAAGTTATGAGAACTAAAAAGACTGGCAAAAAGTATTAATACCTGTCTTTTCATGTTGGTGATAAACCAGATCTATTTCACTAAGCTCTTTATATAAGTAAAAATACATATATACTACAAAAATGGCAGCTAGATATGAGAGGTCTATCTGCTTTGGCCAGCAGAGTCGATGTCCACTTTGCACTCTCACCCACCTCTTGGGATCCGAGGCACCTGCTGGCACGCCTCCCAGACACTGTTGTAGGAAATAAGGTTCTCAGGGCTGCAGAAAGGAATCAATAAGGATGTATCAATAACCTAGGTTCCTGTTTCCTAAAAGGTCCTTCCTGCTGGTCATTATTCTCAGTTATCAGTAACTTTGCTGTTAAAATGAGTTTTTCCCCCCTCCCAGAAGCAAGGAACCCCATTAACCAATAACCCCAACTGTGGCATCACTACCTCTGAGTTGGAGTGATATAAAGCACTTCCACAAGCTGAGCCATGCCATCCACGATGTCCAGAGTGGCACTCCGTACCAGCTTTCGCAGGGTGATTCCTGTAGCCAAACCCAAAGACTAAGCAGCCTGGTCGTCACCAAAAATAAATTTTTAAAAAACCAGTGGCTTTTTGACAACTGTGGATAAAACACTTTAAGTTTAAACCACATGCGTAGCCCTGAAGATCCACGAGACATGTACTCATTTATAATTATAGCATGATTATAATCAAGGCATGAATATACAAGCAGGGCTGGAGGCCACTTAACCTATAAGGGAGCTCAGGAACAGCATGTGATGTAATATGGGTGGAGGAGCCTGGGGACTGCCTGGGCCTGGGGATGGGGCTGATATCCAACCAGCATCTGTGGCAGTTATAATGTTAGAGAGAGGGAGGAGCCAGGGAGAATTAAAAATGTTAAGAGTCAAGCAAGGGCTTCCCTGGTGGCACAGTGGTTAAGAATCCGCCTGCCAGTGCAGGGGACACAGGTTCGAACCCCGGTCCGGGAAGATCCCACATGCCGCAGAGCAACTAAGCCCGTGTGCCACAACTACTGAACCTATGCTCTAGAGCCCGTGAGCCACAACTACTGAAGCCCGCATGCCTAGAGCCTGTGCTTCACAAAAAGAGAAGCCACCACAATGAGAAGCCCGTGCACCGTAACGAAGAGTGGCCCCCGCTCGCTGCAGGTAGAGAAAGCCCGCGCTCAGCAACAAAGACCCAATGCAGCCAAAAATAAATAAATAAAATAAATTTATTAAAAAAAAAAAAAAGAGTCAGGCAAGGCAGGGGAGATGGGAACACAGCATCTGAACCTTAGCACAAACGCTTACTTATGGAGGTCACATATATTACATAACTACCTTTGACTGCACTTTATGGGAGAAAGTTACATTACATGCTCAAAATGAGGAAAAGGTAAAAGTTTCAGGATAGAAGCTGTCATAGTAGCAAAGATCTATCCCATAAACTGAATGCTTACGTGTATGGAGTGGCTTACCCTGATCCTTGGGAAGCGAATAGTATACTGCGATAATTGCCTTGATGGAAGCATGCACTTGTTCAGAGAACTTCTGGGTTTCCTATGAGGTGATAAGCCAATTTCAGAAAGAAAAAAGGAATGGATTAGATCAATGTGGTCAACCCATCTACTGTGGAAGAGAGCAGACATCCGTACAGCATCATCAAACATTTTCTGAAGTCCTATTATGCGTTAGGCCCTGTGCTATTCTCATAACATACCAGAGAGGAGTTAGCTGGATACCAGATACTGAGCAGACAACTGATTAAGACACGAAGAAACAGCAGGAAAAACTTATTCCTGATACTCTATATCCCAAGATATTTGTGATCTGTTTTGAGGTATTCACCATATCTTAGACCAGGAGTTGGCAAACTAGGGCCCAAGGGCCCAATCAGGCCCAATGCCAGGTTTTGTAAATAAAGTGTTACTGGGACACAGCCACACTTTTTTTTTTTTTTTTTTTTTTGGCTACATTGGGTCTTCGTTGCTGCGTGCGGGTTTTCTCTAGTTGCGGTGAGCGGGGGCTACTCTTCATTGTGGTGAGTGAGCTTCTCATTGCGGTGGCTTCTCTTGTTGCGGAGCACAGGCTCTAGGTTCGCAGGCTCAGTAGTTGTGGCGCACGGGCTTAGTTGCTCCGTGGCATGTGGGATCTTCCCGGACCAGGGCTCGAACCTGCATTGGCAGGTGGATTCTTAACCACTGCACCACCGGGGAAGTCCCAACACTCTTGGTTTACATATTGTCTACAGTTGTGTTCACACTACAGGGGCAAAGTTGAGGTCTGCAAAGCCTAAAATGTATACTATCTGGCCCTTTACAGAAAAAGTTTGCCAACTCTATCTTAGGCCATTAACCAGTTGTCTGTCTCTCTGCCTCTGTGTGTCTCTGTCTCTTTCTAACAGAATCTCAGTATATCTAAAAGTAATTAGCATGGACTCTACAATGCTCAATGTTGACTATTTTTCTTCGAAGCAGTCACTGGCTTTCTCTTACCTTCTTTGTCCTCACTTCTCTGCTCAATTCTAAGCCAGCATTATGCAAAATGTGGTCCACAGATTGGTGCCAGTCCATAAATGGTCTGTTACCAGTCTGGGATGGATAAATACAATGATTGAGAGCACTTAGAAACTTTTATGCCAATTTGACATTGTTTCAACATTCAAACATATAATTTCATAAAAATACCAAGCCATAAGAACTGGAATTAAAATAAAACAAAACAAAAAAAACCCCAAACATTCTTTAATAGAACTAATGTGCTGAGATCCTAAGAAAGCAATTGTGATTCAAATATATATAATTCAAATAAAACCATATTCTAATTTTTAATCAGTGAGTAAAAAACCACTGTCCTGAGCATGTACAGAAAAATAGTTCTATTCTTGCTCCTCATGGTATCTTACTAGCTGTGAATTTTAGCCACAAGTCCTAAGTGTATTTGGAAGAAAGGAGTCAGCACATAAGAAAAATAAGGTAACATTACTACTCCCTTTGAAATAAAGATTGACTTTCTTCAACAAACTTTTAAAGTACTTTCATACAATTCTCTTGTTTCCTCATCTCAGATCTCTGAGGTATGTAAGTGGAGAGAGTTTACTACTGTAGGTGCAGCAAGAGAAGACGTTTTCATTTCAAAACATCTAGATATATAATTGAGAAAGAGAATGAAAGTATTGACTATGAAAATAAAATAAGGCAATGAATATGTCATTTTAAAACAAACTTACTCCCAAATTAAGTATACCTAGCTCTAGAAAAACTGAGCATAGAGCATGCCTGGCCACAGCCGACAATATTTACTTTCAAGTATCTTATAATAAAGTTTTATAATAAAGCACAAATTCTTTGTTCTAGCAATTCCACTTCTGGGAATTTTTACCAATATATAGATATACACAAAGACTGTATTAGGCAATCTACCACAGCACTGTTTATAATATAATAGTTACAAACTGGAAACAACTTAAATGTCCACACAGTACTGGTTAGATAAATTATGGTTATATCCACTCTGTTGAATACCATGCTGCCATTACAAAAAACTGAGCAACTTTATATATGCTCCCAAAAATCAATTTGCAAGCTATGTTGTTAGTTTTTTTTAAAAAGGTCTGGAAAAGTGTTTATGGTATCCTATCATTTGTGTAAAAAGAAGCAGGTATATATACATAAGTGTGTATATGCATAGCATGTATATGGAATAATACAAAAGGAACAAGGGACAGGAGATATAAACTTTTTAGCACATTTAACTTTGATATCTTTTGAATTTTATACTATCTACATTATTACTAATGTAAAAAATAATTCAATGTAAAAGAGTATTATGTAATATAACAAAAAAGGTGTAGCTTAGACATTAGCTAGAACCTAATTTAAATCCTAGCTCCACTACTTATCCACCTTAACCTGAGCGTCTGAGCCTGCTTACTTATCTGTCAGATGAGGATCATGTATGTGAAAACATCTAGCAAATAGAAAGTGCTTTTTAAAACAAATTATCAGAAGGGAAATAACCAGGATGAACTTCAGAATGAACCAATATTTAGAAGAGCTGCCCACCCCATGACAGCTACTGCATTTGGCAATTTGATCTTCAGAACAATCCTGTAATGTGAGAACCACCATCTTACTTGACAGATGAGGAAATTAAATCCCCAGCTTTGAATGTAAAACGTGGAAAGAAAATGAGAGGATTCCTAAGGAATAACAAGGCATCACAAGAACTGTAGAAAAGTGAAGCCCACCTGTGGCGACGGCAGTGGAAGTCGAGAAAAGACTTCGGTCAGAGTCGTGGCTGCCCTTGACACTGCCATAGCTGCCTCACCTGGGAGGTGATAGAGGAGGAGGCGGGAGCCAATATGTTAGTGCCAAAAGGATAAGGCTCCAGCGGCTGCATGAACTTTGAAGATAACGCGTTCCCTCTCCACCCTTGCCGGCTGAGACATCTCAAAAAAACAACCCCAAATCAGTGTTTTCTATCTCAATCTCAGAGGTGCCGTGGATGGGTAAGGCGAGGTATCCCCACAGACAGGATGGGGCAGGGGAAAGCAGGAAGGAAAGGGGTAGGGACGCTGCAAGAGATGAGAGATGGCAGCCTGCAACAGGAGAGGCACTCACGGAGTCTCCTCCAAAAGGCTTCCCGATCAAATTCCTTGGTGGTCTCCCGGGCTTCGCCGACTAGTGGGCACGGCGTGCGGGCCGGGCGGCCGCAAAAGAAAAAGCACAGGTAAGCGGAGTCACCTCCAGACCCCACCTCCTCCGCCCGGACCCCGCCGCCGCCACGGCCTCGCCCCTTCCCACCCAAGCGCGCCCCGGCCGTCGCCCGTCCCCACTACGTCAGCTCACCCCGCACTCCAGGAAGGAGGAACCGCAGCTCCCCTGCTAGGTGCCGGAGCTGCTCCAAAGGCGGAGGCAGGGTGGCGTCTGCGGCTGCAGGTGCAGCAGCGCTCGCCATCTCAGCAGGACTTGAGGAGCCCGCGGACTAAGGCGCTGCGGGAGCCGCACTGCCGTGACCGCCCCACTTCCGGGCCGCGGGTTCGCTTCCGGCAACAACCCGCCCCGCCCCGCCCCTGCCCAGAGGCCCAGCCGCGCCTCCTTCCGCGCTCCAATGCGCGGCTACACCTCCTCTCGCCCCGCCCTGCCCCGGAACGGCGACACAGGCAAGTCCCAGACCGAGTTATGATCATTCATTTATTGATATTTAATTACTCGAAAACACCCCCGACTGAGGAAGCAGACAGCCCATAACCCTGCTGGAAAAGAGGACTCGGAACTAATCAAGGGTAGTCAGGGTCAGGCCCAAGTTTGCACTGGTTCCCTGCCCCTAAAGTGGCGCCCTTATAGGCTGCTGAGTTCCAGACACTGTGCTAGGTACTTTACATGAGGTAACGTAAAAAACACACTGGGTGGGCCGCAGATACTCCCATACCCACCAGCCCCTGGCCTGTGGATCTCCTAGATTAGGGCTTTCTCTTCACAAATCAACCCTTTGCCTTCTTGGGGAAGGAAGGAATCATGGCATTATTTAGAGAATTTTCTGCAGTCCATTCTGCAGGAATCAGTAGTGGGTAATCCCCTCAACTCCCAGGCGTCCAAGGAACGTCCAAGGCTTGCCCACCAATATTGGCCTTCCGCCTGCTGCTGAGGCAGAGGCCTGGGCGACATAGGTGGATGATGAGACATGGCCTTCAGGAGCTCAGGTGGCTTTTTAACTGCACTATGAAGGTTCCAAGCTCGGCAGAGTTCAGTGTCCACACACAACGAATGAGAACAGGCGTCACCAGTGTCAACCAGGTCCGCAAAGGGGAGAATAATAAAGCTAGAGTACCATATGTCATATGAAGAAAGTAGCAGGAATAAATCTGCCAGCTGTACAGTAGTAACATAAGTAGGTGAACAGGTACAATTTTCAAGTATTTTCCTTGATGGAGATGAGACCTGAAGCTGTGACCAAAGCACCGCTGTAGCAAGCTCCAACACAGGTAAACCATCAAGGGGATGTTAAAAAACACCAGCTGGAAAGAGCGAACAGGACCATTAGCTTATTAGCAAGCCCTGGAAGGGTCAGGTCTCACTAACATTATTGGTGGCTCTTAAAAATATGTTGCTTTCCCTCTTGGGGGTTAACTGATTCTTTATGCTTCAATCACACTTGCTTATAACACTCACAATAGTTGACTTGTAGTTAGTTGTTTATTTTCCTGTATCCTTTTGTTCATCTTAAAGGCAAGTGTCATTTCATTTATGTTGAAGCCCTCAAATAATGTTTAAGGTAGAAATGAACTGAATATGTGGGTGTACAGACACACACACATATATACAGTACTCTGTTTTTTGTTTTTTATTTTTGGCAGAGTGGGGGGGACTTGGGTATCAGTATCTTTTCTTCTCCCTGCATTTTTATGTGAAGTGGCATAATGAATACTGGAATACAAATTAGAAGATTTAAGTTATAATCCAAGTTTAACTACTATATGAGTCACTCATTCACCAAATAATTATTGAACACCCATTATGTGGCAGGTACTGTGCAAGGCTCTAGACAAGGGATACACACATGGGTGACCAAGTTGGAAAAGATGCATCATAGAGCTTACATTCTAGTAGAGAGAAGAGAAACCAAAAAGAACAAAAAAAAAGGAGGGGGAAGATAATTACAGATTGTGATGAATTCAATGAAGAAAATAACTGGGTCACAGGAGGTAACTGGGAGATGGGCCCTCTGAGGCCTGAAGGACAGAAATGAGCCAGTGGAAGGAAGTGCATTCCAGGCAGAAGAAACAAATGAAAAGCCCAGAGGTGGGAGAGGTTAGCTGGAACATGATAAGCCAGGTGGAAACTGGGGCAGTCAGCATGACCCAGATCACGTCACTGATTTGCTTAAAGGGTTTTAAGCTGAGAAATGAGTGAGCTGATTAAGATTTTAAAAGGACTACAGTGCATGCTCTGTGGCAAACTGACAATAGGGAGGCAAGAGCAGCAGTGGGAAACCTGTTAGGGGGTTACTGCAGTAGCCCAGGCAAGAAATAATTATTATTTAGACAAGGGTGGTGGTAACAGTAATAGTGGTGGATTCAGCACATGTATTGGAGGTCGATCAAATACGGTACTACTTGCTGATAACTAGATATAAAGTATGAGGGAAGGAGAAAAATTGAAGAACACCCTGGAGAAGATACATCCTGGATAATTTATTGAAATTGGAAAGAACTGGGGGAGGAACAGGTTCAGGGATAGAAATTAAAGGTCCTGTTAGAGGTATATTAAGTTGAGATTCCTGTTAGATATCTAAGGAAGATGCAAAATGGCAGTTGGATATATAGGCACCTGAGGTGCAGAGAAGAGGTCTAGGTCAGAGATATTATAGATTTAGGGGCCATGGGCCTAGATGATACATAAAATCCATTCTTAGTGTACTATTTATTAAAATATGACTATAAGCCCACCTTTTGGTAAGGGTCAGGTTTTACTTGGAATAAGAGTGCTCCTGAGAGACAGCCTCCATCTACATAACAGAAAACTGAACTAGACCCAGATCTAGTCACATATAAAATGCTGCTAAACAGAGAATATTCTGGTCTGTGGTCAGCGTTCACTAGGCAAAGATCTTCCCTACTTGTCTGTCTCTAATCCTGCTGATCATGTTTTACTGCCCTCTTATGAGGCTGTGAACTCATTTCAAACAATGTTTTTGGATCTCTTATACAACTCTAGATCATCACCTCAGATTTTGATCCATTAGCCCCATCAGATGAGTACAAGAGAAAAATTGTTAGGTAAATAGTTTTCAAACCCATTTATAGAAATTTGCTATAGGTCTGGGTTTTTTATTTGTGTTTGTTCTAAAGGAATCTCAATCCAAATGTAAACCTAACATATCAGTGTTTCATAAACAAGTGTATTGCTAGGACATCACTAGAAAGCTGGGTAACTGACCCACTTTTCTTGTGTGTCTATTTTTCTTTTCCTCCCTCTGAAACAATTTCCTTCTTCATTATCATAACCAATTTTGTTTTACCCAGAAGTCTCATTTATTCTACCATAAGTCTCTTCTTTCACTGTTTATCGATGAAAAAGCACAGTGAAACAAACAACAAAAACAAAAAGCTCTTTCACCTCTTATAAAACTTCCTGCCAAAAATGTATTTTAGATGTTTACAAGAGTGGTGGAAGAAAGAGCTTAGGAAGCACTCTAAAAGCAAACAAAACACCAGATACTAAAGACTGCCCTGCCAGTAAATTAGAAAACATGATCTATGGTGATAAATTTGGGATTTGGGATTTAATTCATAACTATTATGCAATTAGCCCAACAAGGCCAAGATGTTCTTAAATTGCGTTTCTGACTTCTTACCTGGAGAATTCCAACTATAAACGTTACACTGCCTTGTAGGAAATGTCCATCAACAAAGATCCCAAAGGAAAAGCAGCAACCCAATTTGCCTTTAGTGATTTCACCAACAAACCATGGTCCTGAAAGAGGCAATGAACAAGAAAGGAAGTTAAATAACTATGACTGATTACATACATCATGACATGCATTTACAGAAATAATGAAAAAATATGAGACTAGTCATCTATAAGCATTTATTTGTATAGCTTTTCTTCTTTGCTAATCTCTGTGTTGCACTCAATATCCTAGCTAACCAATTATTTGCTCCTTTGCTCCATATTTCTCTAGATTATAAAATTGCCTGAGTACATGCTATACCTGGAATAGATTCCAGAAACAGATAGGAGTACATTCACAAATTTTAGAAGATTCTATTACAGTAGTAACCTCAATATAAAGCATTAACATTTCCTTTAAGAAGCAAAAAGGTACTCCATAGATACCACAGTTAATTTTCCAGATAACTGAGATTTACTCCTTTACGCAATAAGACTTCAACCACTTTAATCATTCTAAAACACACTTCTTTCTTATAAATATTAATGAATGTATTTTAACCTTTTCTGGCTGACCCACAGTCATTACTTTGTACATCAACTACATACTCAGGGTTAACATGTACAAAGTTTAACTCACTTCTTTATTTTAATTTTTCATCTGCAATGCCAGAATGACTTTTCTCTACCCTGTATTATTATTTACTGCCCCTTCTCAATGTTCAGGCTTCTAGAACTACTATATTGTCAAGAGTGATTAAGGGACAGTCGGATTTCCCTTCTCAAAATGTAATACCATCATTTACTGGTAAGGGTAGATTTCAACTGGGACTTCCCTGGTGGTCCAGTGGTTAAGACTCCATGCTCCCAATGCAGGGGACCCGGGTTCAATCCCTGGTCAGGGAACTAGATCCTGCATGCCACAACTAAAAGATCCCACATGCCACAACGAAGATCCCATGTGCTGCAACTAAGACCCGGTGCAGCCAAATAAATAAATGAATAAATATTAAAAAAAAAAAAAAAAGGGGCTTCCCTGGTGGCGCAGTGGTTGAGAGTCCACCTGCCGATGCAGGGGATGCGGGTTCGTGCCCCGGTCCGGGAGGATCCCACATGCCGCGGAGCGGCTGGGCCCGTGAGCCGTGGCCGCTGAGCCTGCGCGTCGGGAGCCTGTGCTCCGCGGCGGGAGGGGCCACAACAGTGAGAGGCCCGCATACCACAAAAACAAAAACAAAAACAAAAACAAAAAAAGAGTAGAGTTCAACTTTAAAAAGTCATAGGTAATTTTCTCAGATATATATTATATATACTCCATTAGATACATATTAGTTTTAAAAAGTGTTTCCCCTTTAAGTTTCAACCTTTAAAAATGAAACAACTTCTCCCCTTCTAATGTTTTCCTTTACAGCCAGGAACCAAATCACCTGCTTTGCCTCCTAGTGGAAGACTAGTGTGTAAAACAGCTTCAACCTATCTTCTAACAAGAAAACCAACCTCAAAAGGGGAATCTGGCATAGCTTGTTATACAGAATTGTAAAGGGTCATATTATTTCTTTAACTACTTTCTGTTCTCTGGTGGGAGTTACTAATGAGGAAAGAAAAGTCCAAAGATGGACTAAAAGTAGAAAACA